TGCTCCCTTTGAGCCAATCCCGACGGGGTTCGTAGGTGGCCGATGATGGACCGGCACACACACACAAAGAAAGAAGAATATTAAAATATCAACGGAAAGTTCTGTTTGATCTTTCTAATATTAAGCTTTTAAGTTATTGCTCCAATTTTTCTGGAGTATGACACCTGGCAAGAAAAATATATCCGGAAAACATATTTTTTCGGCAATTTCACCATTATTTTTATAAGTCTATTAAGTTTAGTTTTAATTACCTCAAATATAGACCTACGCTTTCAAACTTTTTTATACCGTCGATTAAAAAAGGCTTATCTTTCAGATCTAGAGAAGACCGATGACTGTTGATGAAAAATAGCCAGGTAATATATGATTCGAAAAAAAATCCAGGAAATAAATACATTTGTCTACCTTCAGTTTTTTGTATCTGTTATATTTTTTCTTCCAACCTTTTCTCTGGCTTACCCTCTCACTTCTCGCTCTGTATGTTTATCCCTTTCTCTTCTCTCTCCCTCTCTCTCTAACTATCTTAATCTCTCACTCTCTCTCCTTTCTCTCTTTCACCCTCTTTTCTTTATATCTACCTTTATATCTCTCTCACCAACTCGTTCTCCCTATTTCTATGTCTGTCTCCTTTATATAATCTTACACTTTTTTTCTCTTTATCTCCGAAGTGAAACAATGCAGCAATAAACGTACTTTTGTCTACCTTTACTTTTTTATTTATCAATATCTTTCCCCATCCTGCATTTTCTCTCTTTTGCCCTCTCCTCACTCACTTTCTCTTTATCTCTCACATCTCTCTCTCCTTTTCATCTAACGATACACAGTTATAACTCATCTCCCTATTTGTATATCTCCTTGCTCCCTTCTTTCTTTCTTTTTCACCCTCTCTTCTATCTATTTATCCATGCCTCTTACCAATTAGCTCTCCATTTTTGAATTATTGTTAAATCCTCCATATACATATATCCCTTGCCCTTTACCTTCTCTCTCTTAATCAATCTCAATCTCACACTTTTTTCTATTTTCTTTTATTTCTAAAATGAAACAATCTAACCAATAAAATACTTTTGTCTTCTTGTACTCTTTTTATTTTTATGTTTTTCCTCATACTGCATTTTCTTTCTTTCGTCCTGTCATCACTCCCCCACCCTCTCTCTCACTCCTCTCTCTCTCTAACTATCTCAAACTATCACTCTCTCTCCTCTCTCTCTCTTCTCTCTCAATCTCTCACGCACTCTCCCTCACACACACGCACACACACACTCTTTCTCTCCCTCTCCCTCTTTCTCTCTAGAAATAATAATAAAATAAAATATTTCATCTAGGCAAAATATATTTCAGTAAGTAGTTACCTAGCTGTCTCCGTAATACAACATTGTTTCATTTTTTACTGCTTACTTACCCCTAGTTATCTATCAATCAATCTGTCGATATTTTACTAATCTCATTTTTCTGTCTAGTTTTATTTTTCTTCTTTCTATGTGTTTAAAACTGCCAGGCGCTCTTTCTTTCTTGTTAGTTTCTTTGCTATTTGTCTAGCGTACACGCATTTAATCGATTGTTGTTGGTTGGTAATATAAAAACAAATGCTTTTTACGGTTTTACATTTTACGAAACGCTTTTGAAAAGTTACAAGCTTGAATTTTTTTTTCGTTTGCGAACATAGTTAATGTTGATAATATTAACTTTACATAATTACTGAATTTTATTAACGTGGAAGCTTATGTATTGCTAATAATTTTTCAAGTATCATTGTTTTCTGCTTCTTAACATAGCTTATCATTATTTATTCGTTTTTCTCAGAAATCAATCTCTTTTGTTTGTAATACAAAAAAATCCGCATAAAATTGAATTCGTTTTTTTATCAATGACATTATATATAATAATTTATTCATCTACTGAGTAAAAACAGCAGATATTGATAGAAACAATTTCTAAATTGGAAAAAAAACTTCGCCCCGGTTTATTCGATTTGTGCCAATTTGAAGAAACTCCGAATGAAAATGTCCGAAAGATAAATAACCCTCTATCTCGAACCCAATTATGTCATCAATGACAGCAATAATTTATTTTCGAACAACGACACCTAGCGACAACACGCGTTTTATTTCGAGGACCTGACGTTCGAATACATTTGCGCCAAACGTAGGATGTTGAAAATTTTATTCATTTGTATTTCAAATTTTATGAACGCTCATATAATTTCAGATAAATTCCTTTGAGATGTACAAGTAAATTAGCATACCTACATACACGCAGATATAAATTATTTTGCGAAATTCAGTTAAAACTCCGCTGATTTAAAACCCTACTGACCTCTTACAAAGAAAAGAAAATTGCTTAAATTTAAAGCAAGATTTTCTTTACTCAAGTTAAGAGTTTTATGAATGAATGTTATGAATTTTTTACTTTGGCTTGAACAAATCGTAAGTGAAGTCCTGACATCAGTTGAAACTAATGTTAGCTTCATAAAGTTGAAAATTCAACCAAAGTAATCAATGGTTTTCTATTTTAATCATGCATATCACGGAATAAATTCAAATAGTAGAATTTATTTTTAGTGTTGCTCCATATGCTCACAAGGCAAACGAGGTTTAAATGCAAATAACGCCGGCCAGTCCGGCAATTAAGTAAATTTATTAACCATTCCAGTGCCTTAATTGACACGGAATGAACTTGCAAAATTACATCAAAGATCGCGCCTTCGAGATAAAAACAAATAGAATAGTGTTGAATTAATTTGTGTAAATGGAAGAAATTTGTCACTCTCTGTTTTAACACACAAGGTGAAAGCTCATAAATGCTGCCTGCATTGTCGTAACAAACTGCTTAACTATTAACTAATACAATTTTCTAGCCAAGTTCTATTTTTGGTGGGCGATTTAGTACATTATTGAGTCAATTTTTTCGCATGCGAAACATTCACGTAGCCGGCCAATAATTCACAGCAAACCCTTTCATTATAGTAATTGAAAAACGTGTGACAAAACTATATTTTTCGCTATGATCTGATAATGGGGCTGTAGAAGCGAGAGAACATAAATAATGCGGTAATCGACGCCGTGCCGAACGGTTGAAACAGTAGCGATGCCGCTTAGATAATAAGATAATCAAAAAAAGGAAGGAACAAAAAATAGTCGGCGGGCCAAAATTGAAAATTAAACATTACACGAAAGATAATCAAAAATGCAATAAATCACGAAAGGGGGGCACGATTTGAGTGCATTCCAGGCAATCATTCTAGTGGTTTTTAGCCCTATCGCAACGGGAAAATTATGCAAATACGTCTGCTTAAAAGACCACGCGACGTGTTTTACATGTAGATTCAAGTAAACAATTGTTTTTCGAAATAACCACACCACAACCCTTCAGAAAAAATAAACCTACTGCCGATTTGTTATTTTTTCTGGCTTCATTCTGCATTATTGGCTTTTTCACTAATAAATTAATAGATTATTATCGTGAGGTTTTCTCTCTGAATAGCTTTAAAGGTGCAGTTTGGTCGATTCAAATTATTTAAATGTGCCTATCCTCGCTGTTTTAGCTTGAAAGACGAGTTTCGAATTCTAACCAATTTCATTGATAGTTAATTGTTCGTTAAACTTTTATGAGTTTTTTCTCAACGATCTAACAAATACCCTAGGCCTTGCACTGAAGATGGCGAGAAGCCGAACAAATCTGGCAAACCACAACAGCGAGGATAGGCAGACGAAAATATTCGTTTTTCGTTAAGGTTTTTAAAGGTTTTTACGACACTACAAAGCAATAAAAACGTCCTAAGCGTACTAAAATTATTTATAAATATAACAATTGACAAAAATACCAAATTGATAGACAAAAACGAAACGTAATACGTGAACATGAATTGGCGAGATAATCTCTTTATTTTAAAATAAGACTACCATAATTTTATTTCATCCCATGTAATTTATTTTTATTAACAATTATTCTAGATCTACGTCTTGTCAATGATTTTGAGCTTTTTCTAATTATGTATTATGCTTGTATCATGTCTGTGTTTACAAGCGATATGTTATCATACTTTATTACTGTTTTTCACCATAAATTAATTAAACTGTAAAGTCTGAAGGACTTTATGCTGGGCTTTTTGTTCAACTTTAATTTCAGCATCAAACCATTTATGTACAATTGGATATTAAACTTGAAATAATGATTGGCATAAAACAGATAGCGACGTTTTAAAAAAATATATATTTTTTCTTTCAAATTTTATATTCAAACAACTTTGTTATAAAAAAGATAATAATGAAATTTCCGTCAACAAAGACAAAACGACGATTTACGAGTCAAAATGTGTCTAAATCTCAGTGCTTTTATGGAGCATTATTGAAAAACCCATTGTCATAATTAATGATATAATTGCCTTAGTAATCAACTTTTTAAAAATTTTGTTTGACGTTTAAAGAACGACTTTCCTTCGTGTCATAAGTCAAAATATTAATGGATTTTCTGTAAACAATTTTTGGATGTTTGATTGTTTAAAACTTGTTTGTATGACAAATCTATACAAAATAAATATGCCAAATCAAATATTTTAAAACTGGTAAAATAAGTTTAAGCAATTTTCAAATAACTTTAAACTAGATAGTTTGGTGTGTATTTCATCAAAATGTTTTTCCCATTTTTCTCTATAACGCGAATTATGACGATTTGATGACAGCATATTTTCCGCACAAAAATCCAAATTTGATATGTATTTCGATAGGATTTCCTACGAGTGAACGAAACATCATGGGCTGAATGATTAAACGGGAACAAGTGGAACACGAAAACACAAAGAAATCAACCCTTCGAAGGGGGGGGCACAGGTCCTGAAACCGACAACCCCGTGTACTGATATATTATGCATGTGCCCCATTTACATAGGGCCGCGGCACAACTTGACGTCATTACTAGACCACGTGGTGGGATTTTTTTCGCCACCTGTGTGTTTCCATGCTAAGACAAAAACAAATTTCAAAATTCAATAAATAATTTACCTTTTTACTCTATAAATTCAGTCGTCCCAGCTCTCTCCCAGCTTATAGTCTACGATATATCACAGTTTAAATAAATCAGGAGTTCACTAAATACTAGAATGCACTTTTTCTTTTTTTTAAATTATTCTTTTTTTATTCAGGTACTCTTAAGAGATTAGTTTGTTTTTGGCCCCTCACGCGAACAGGGAGTCACAGTCTTGTTCCCGACCCAGCGTCCTTGATCAGTCCTCAGTTATGAAAACTTCTCTGATAAATCCTTTAGTTTTTTATCGTCTCGATTGTATGTTATGATTATGAACTTTATATAAATTAAAATGTCCTCATTTTATTTTTTTTATTTGTTTGATTTGAGAGTGTTTTTCTCTTCTTTTTTCTTTTTATTTTCACCTTTAGGACAAACAGTAAGAACTAACAAAAAAAACACAAAAACACAGAGGTCCGTTATTTCTTCTTGCGCCTTAGGTAGAAACCCATGTCCCAGGTGCGGAAGTAGTGGGTGTAGGTCATTTGATGGATACGATCATCATTGTAAGTGTGGGTGCGCGGCGTCTTCAGAACTGAGCGGCCCCATCGTAAACTGGGATCCCCTCTTCATCGCTGCAGAACGCTTGCGCCGGACCAACCCCCGCACCCCCACCACGCTCATTATCAAATATAAATAAATATCGGGATCCTTGTTTACCATACACTATTGTCCTCACGTATTTTATGATCTCTACCGGATCATAAATCATGCCGGTTGTGTTTGTCCCCCTTCAGGGCCAAGGTGAATTTTCCGGCACCGCCTCATCTAGAACAGTCTATTTCAAAGGAATCGCTTCCATCCTCGAAAGGAAGCCATCCATCGCGACTAAATTTATAATTTCTTTTAAAGATTGAAGAAAGAAGTAGAAAAATATAAAGTACAGACATACTCTGAATACATATCATACATAAATCATTTGATCAACCGAACTACCGTTTCAACACCACGTACATAAGTTAAAATTTAAATAAAACAAACAACTTACAATATAAATATTTAAAAGTGACTGCAATTCCGTGGAAAGGTCATACATAATTAAACTTTTCTAAACATTTTACTTGTTGCATTATTTATCGTGCAGATGCAATTGAAAAAATGAATAATATTTGGCGTAATTAGTCTTTTTTTGATCTGCCCATCCTGCTAGGTTGGTATATCATACAAGTTCCGGCATTTCACCATCTTCAGTGTGTCAACTCATTTCTTTATTCTTTATTAAAATAGAAAAAAAATCTATTTTGCTGAGAAATTTCTTTGTGGGGTCTTGTGTAATTTGGACGTTTCTTATCACCCTCCAAGAGTAGTCTGATGACTTCAAAGAAGGCGAAATAACTAAACTGACAAACCAAGCGAGCATAGGCGGACCAAAATGAATTCTTTAATCCGCAGAATACATAAAGCAATACCACAACAAATCAATGTGCAAAAAGTTGATATTTACTTAAAAAATTTAACACGAATTGTGTTATGATTTTCATTAATCATTTACGAAAGCATGTTTTGCATGTATTCACACAGTGAATTTAACAACATAAACACAAACCGTTACCTAGTCCACTTAAAGATATTTAAGGCTAGAAGAACAGTCAATCTGGCCCCTAAAAATAAAGGTTTAAAAAATATGTAAGAATACAGAAATAATTTTTCCTTGGAGTATTAATTGTTAAAAAAAATTATAACTAAGTTTAATTTGTATACCGACGATAATAAAAATGTAAATAATTAAAATTGTATTCATATTTTATTGCCAATTATTTTTGTCCATTGTGTTCATAAATGAAAATCTTCTTTTTGGCCTGTAAAATTCAATTTAACTGTTCTAATTGGTGATAATTTAAAATACTTCTACAGATTTTAGTTGATCTTGGTTAACCGAAGCCGGAGGTCGTGGGTTCGAGTCCCGCTCATGACACTGATTTTTCATGTCAACCACACTTCACATAAAAATTTTAAATCAATTTAAAGCCAAGTTTAATGAAATTTCTCTATGTGGTTTGTGTGTGAATGAACTAGGAATTTTGAAGTTAGTGATCATTTTCGCCTGCCTATCATCGCTGGATTGGTCTATAAGAGTTTCGACATTTCATCATCTCCAGTGTTGAGTCTGTGGGACTTCTAAGATTCTAGTCCTTATTATACCGTCGTCATGGGTGGGGTGCGTGTGTAGGATTTACATTTATAGTACAGAGACACAAAATGATCGTTAACGACAAAATTACAGCACAGCTTGGAGTTGAATACCCCTCCCCCAAACTTTTATTCAACTCAACATTGTGATATATTAACATAAAAAGGACAAGATTGGTAAAAAGCACGCAGTCAAAACATGGAATATAACGAAATATCGTAATGTTGTCAGATGAATCCAGCGAGAAGAAGCATACTAATTGTAAGATGATCCAATTCAAATGAATATATTAAACTATTCTTTAACTTTTGAATATTCGAAGAGTTAGTAGCAGTAAATATATTATGTACTTGTACATAGAAAATATGTTACCAATCACACAAATTTTGCCAGTTATGCTCGTCACCTACTTAATTTTTATAATACTGCTCATTCTAATTACGAATGGAAATAAATAAACTAACGCGGATTCCATCAGTATTGATGCCAAGAGTCACGTTTTGGTTGTATGATAGATCACTTTATTTGTACCAAACACACATAGTGATATTTTAAAGTTTATTTTATATATTTTATGTAAAACAAGAAACGGCTTAACGCGATATTTGAATTTTGCCGGCATCAATTCGAACGCCAGCCGGAATAAATTTCATATTTAGTAAAGTGTGCAGGTTAGCAGCTCTCGAACAAATCTGGCATGAGTCATGCTGACGTTTTCACAATTGAATAAACCTTGTAAGCTTTAAAACTGTCGTTGATGGCAAATTTAAATTTAAAGATTTAGATTTAAAAACTCGTTAATATTAATCCATAAAAGTAAATATTTTTAGCATGCATTAAAATAAATTGTATTCTCACGAGAAAAACCAAGATATTCCTGTAAACGATAATTTGTTTTTGACATTTGATAAAAAAATCAAGGCAAAACTCACAACATTACGTTCAATATTGCCTTGACTAAGCTTAAAATTATAAATTTATTACATTAATTAAAAGTAATAATCTAAAAAGACAGATTTCATTGATGGTAGGGAAAAACGAACCTAAGAATAAATCAGAGAGATATCCAATATTGCATAATTTCACAATTTCAGTTTTATAAACAGATTGTCCAACAAATTACTACGAAACAACTAAAAAATAATAATCTTATCACGTTTTATTGAAAGAAAATGAAATTAATTGAAGTATGGTATCTTTATAAAAAGTCAGATATTTCTCATTAATCAGGTTATTCGTATTAAAAGTATCCGGAAAATATAAAAACTTGACGATTAAGGTACTGACATAATTTATTCTACTTTTTAGTTTTTGTAACAGAATTTAATAATAATAATCTTCTTATTTTATTTTTTAAATAATAAATAATTTACTAATTCTGTGGGTAGAATCAGCATTTACAAAAATTTAATCTACATACTCACTCCACCTTTACTATCTCTATTAATTTAATCTATTTCTGTTTATTACTTTGTAAAACTTTTGGGCAACAACAGGTATAGTACTTTGATTATTACTAAGACAAATAAAACTAAATAAATTTCAAAATATTCATAAAAAATATAAAATCAAGATGTTGCGATCATTTTTAAAGATGAAAACCCAAATTGGATATATCATATTAGGGGTCTTAATAATAAATCATCAAATAAAAATAAACATTTCTTATTCATTAAAACTAATATTGAGAAATAAGAAAAAAAGTAAATTATGTGTTTCGAAGACGATTAGAGTGATTAAGTTATTGAACCAATTTTCTCAGTATGACCGTTATTAAACACCTAAAAAAACCTGATTTAATCAACAAAACAGATCTAAAGGCACAAAATAAATATCATGCATCGCGAAGTTAGAAAGTCGTAGCAAATCTCAGAAAGCTCCACATTAAACGCGAAATACCATGTTTTAAGCAATTCGGAAAGAAATCTTTTTTTCCCCCGGCCGTTAATACGTGGTTTAATTGTCTCGAAGAGTAGGCAAGGCTCTTTAATTAGAGATTATCCTTTCCCTCGGGAGGGCGATCGTCCTACGCGTCTCGCATAATAACAGGTTATCGCCTAATGACAGTCTTCGTCTTTGCTCTGCCGACCGTTGAAAATTGATATTAATCGCGGTAATGGGCATCCGCGTACAAAGTTTCCCCATAAGTTTATACTTGCAACTGTTTAAGAACTGCAGGAGAGCTGAGCATTCAAGGCTAGCATCTCACGGCCCCCGGGGGGCAGATTAATTTCACCACTATTCGAATAAATCCAGCGGTGAAATTTCCCGTAAATTACGTCCCGATAATAATTTATTACCCGACAGTGTCGTTGTATTTAATTATTTTTCTACCATACAACTTTGGTTATCACTTAACGAGTATTTGTAAATTGCCAAACTTGTTCCCTGCCTATATAGAAAATATCTGAATATGCAAATGAATGGGTGATAGAGAGAGAACAAATACACAGACATGTTCCGTTCTAGCAACCTGTTTATACATTGTTTCAAACGAATGGTGTCTTTTGAAAGTATAAAAGAAAGGTGGTGCGAGAAATATTGTCCATATAGAATGAAGGATCTAGGTCTAATCAAACGATTATATACATCTATTTAGTTCTAATTTTGATGTTAATATTATGAAATTATGTATTTATTCTGATTCCGTTTTCTGCTTTTTAATTTTTTTGTTATTTTTACGCCTTACTGACTTTTATGTTGTTGCATTTATTGTGTTTCAAATTTACAGTTCTCACTCATTTTATCTACAACTCTCTCTTTTCTCTCTATCTTCCTCTTTCGTTTTTTTCCATCTTAATTTTTATGTTTAATTGTTTTTCTTTATTCATATATTTTTTTTACGACGGTTCGAAACATCAGAGGTATCATATCTTTTTTTTTTTTTTTCGACTGCATGGCTGCTGGATTCGCTTTTTATTCATATTGATTATTCTTTTATCCCAGCCCGTCTTTCCCTCTCTCTCACTCTCTCTCTCTCTCTCTCTCTCTCTCTCTCTTTCACACCATCTCTGTTTTTTAATAAAATTCGCTCTGTCTCTCTCTCTTCCGTTTATATTTTCTATATCTATCTATCTGATTATCTATTTCAAATCCCCCTCTCTCCCCCTTTCCCTCTCCCACTCACTCACTCTCTTTCTCTCTCTCTCTCTCTCTCTCTCTCTCTCTCTCTCTCTCTCTCTCTCTCTTTCTCTCTCTCTCTCTTGCTATTTCTGATATTCTTTCTCCATCGCAAATATATTATTTTTCATTTTATACTTATAAACTTTTATATCGGAGTAGGATTGTTAAAAAAATGGGTGTATTATATATTGAGCAAAGGATTGAGAAATTTTCATCCTTCTACTTTATTGTCCGCTTTTCTATAAGCCAGCCCAATAAGAAGGTTACCTATTTC